CACATGCCCTCCCCAGTATCCATCACCCAATAACCCCATCCCTCCATCCCCTCTCCTCCAGCACCCCTTAGTTTTGTTTCCTGTGATTAAGAGTCTCTTATGGTTTGTCTCCCTCTCTGGTTTCATCTTGTTTCATTTTTTCCTCTCTTCCCCTATGATCCTCAGCCTTCTTTCTTAAATTCCACAAATCAGTGAGATCGTATCAGAAGCCATTTCTGAATTTTAGCATCATTTCCTTCCTGGAGGAGCTAAGAAGGAAAAATGTTTTATTTTTGATTCCAGCAAATCTTGGTTCCTTTATATGGTACAGTTTTTTCTTATCTCTGTGTTCTTGAATTTTATCATCCGCAACTAAGAAGCCAAGAGGCACCTCCTACATTGGAAGTCTCCTTAGACTGGCTTACCCAATTCCCTGGGTGTATTTCCTGTTTTCCATGTTATTACAAACAACAGTATTGCTAAACAGAAGTCCCCTTTCCTGCAGCTTCCCATAATGTTGATTTTCCTAAAGTTCTCCCTCATAGCGGCTTTGAGGGCCCTCAGGCTCTAAGTCTCTTTGAGGCCCTAGTCTCTCATGTATACTTGCCTCAAGGTTTTTCCTGTTTCCACCCACTGCCTAATACCCAAAGGTTTCCCATACATTTTAGGTTTTTTCTTACAGTAGCACCCAACTTCTAGATACCAAAATCTTCCAGTTACGTGTTGTGGCCTAACAAACCATCCCATAGCTTGAGCAGAGCATGGTGGAAGTAGCCGTGTCGGCCCCACTCTGCACTAGTGAGGGCCAGCGCAAGGGGAAGTTTCGCTCACGTACTTTCCAGTGGCTGGTGCTAGCTCCTGGTTGCGACTATATTTGGGGCTTTTTGCCAGAACACTGAGCCAAGGCCTCTCCATCACCTGCTAGCTGAGTTCCAGGGACAGACATGTCAAGAGAGCCAAACCAAAGCTGCGGCATCTTACATGACCTAGGCTTTCAAGTCACTGTGCATCATCTCTATCATTGTGTTCATCGAGGCAGTCACAGTTTGCTCTGGTTTCAAGGGGAGGGAACATGGAGTCTCTCTCTCTATGGGAATATGGCAAGGTTTTGGAAGAGTTTGTAGCACCAGAAATACTATCTCTATTTTCTAAAAATATAATCTGCCACACCTGTTAACCTGATAACTGTTGATGTCTGTTGTACTAAAGGGAACATTACCATGATGAAATTGACCCTTAGGGGTCATCACATCTGGATTGGGAGAATATCGGTACCTTATTGTTCACCATATGTACCTAGGACTTCCTTGCGCAGTTGCTCTTGTAACTGCATGTCCGTTGTGGGGACCATGGAAACTGTGGCCTTGTTACAAGAGAGAACCAGTTCTCATGGGGCACTAAGCGAAGCAGCTCCTGCACCTGCATGAAGTGGGTCTCCTAACTTTTGGATGGTGTGTGTGGTGTCATCCACATGAGTGCTGCAAGGATTGCCACCAAAAGGGACACATGAGGCTGCCCTGCCAGTCTGCTGTGGTTCTGTCCTTTATCTTTCTGAACAGACTGGACCAAAGATGTTTGTGTTAGTCTTGTGAGTCTGAATGGGTTGTGGAACCTAACAAGACCCCTGGTGAGTACAGCAATAACCAAAATTTCTAGCTCGTACTTTTTCTCTTAACTAAGCAGCTATCTGCTCTGATCATCCAGTAAGGTTTCAGTTACTTATTAATTAATGAATCCACGAATTGAAATATAGATTATTCTAGTTTTTCATTGGTATAAAATAATGCTATGATGAACTTCATTCAACAGCTTTAGATTATCATTATATCTCAGGCAGTGTCCAAGGGGATGGAGGAGAAGAGTGAACAAAACAGTCTCCAAAAAAAAAAGTCTCTGCTCCTTACGGTATAGTGGGGGAGTCGGGGTGGGAGAGAGTATATATACTCACACCACATAGACACACAATATGTCAGGTGATGAAACGTGAAGAAAAATAAGATAGGCTGGAGAGGGGCTATTTTTTAAAAGGGATCGTGGGAGAATAATGATTCAGCAAAGGCCTGAAATATTGGGGATCCTGAGTGGCTCAGTTGGCTGAGCGACTGGCTCTTGATTTCAGCTCAGGTCATGATCTTGGGGTTGTAAGACAGAGCTCTGCATCAGGCTCTGCACTGAGCATGGAGCCTGCTTGAGATTCTCTTCCTCCTCCCTCTGCTTCTCACCCCCTTCATGTGCTTGCTCTCTCTCTCTCAAAAAAAAAAAGGCCTGAGGGGTGCCTGGGTGGCTCAGTGGTTTAAAGCCTCTGCCTTCAGCTCAGGTCATGATCTCAGGGTCCTGGGATCGAACCCCGCATCGGGCTCTCTGCTCGGCGGTGAGCCTGCTTCCTCCTCTCTCCCTCTCTGCCTGCCTCTCTGCCTACTTGTAATCTCTGTCAAATAAATAAATAAATAAATAAATCTATCTTTAAAAAAAAAAAAAGGGCCTGAATTAAAGTTATGCATAAAGCCATGCAGACATCTGAAAGATGATTTGCTTTCAGGTACTAGGGATAGAACTGCTTAGGCCTTGAATTTGGAGTGTGTAGTATCCCTCAAATTCCATGTATGTATCTGCTTGTTTTCTTTAAACAAATACTCCTGGAAGTGGAATTTCTAGGTAAAAGGATTTGCATATGTTTGGGACTTTTTTTTTTTTTCCAGGTGGGAGTGTGAGTTGGGGCGGGGCAGAGGGTGAGAGAGAATGAGCATGCCCTGGGGCTCCTTCTCAAAACCCTGAGATCAGGACTGAGCCAAAATCAAGAGCTGGGCACTGAACTGACTGAGCTAGCCAGGTGCTGCTTAGGCTATTGAAAAAGTATCATCAGATTGCCAGAAATTGTGGTAATTTTTGTGTCCCCTTAATAGGATCCTACTCCTTACAAGAATTTCTTTTCTGAAATTGTATATGTCATACAATTCATTTTAAATAAATTGAGGAAGTACAGAATGGTATAAAGTATGTTTTCATGCAATAGTCTGAGTTAGAGGATAGAACAGGTTGTTATTTTAGCAAGTTCTCTTGTTAAAAATCTGGGTAGAAGGATCTCAGTATGTAAAGATCATCTTATTTCAATGATAGAAGCTCCCTGACAATTTTTATTAACTAGAGCATTTCAAATTATAAAACCAGAAACTATGATTATAAAGAACACTATTGTGATAAAATGCATGGTTCTAGAAAATGAATATTCATTTATATTCTTTGTACACTCTGAACAAATATGTATATTAAAATTTGAAAACAAACCTCTCAAGTAGTTTAGGAAAGTGATTTGGGATAAAGTTCAGACCTTATTCATAGGTAACAGTTTTGTAAGTAGCTCATTTCTTTTTAACTAATAGTAATATTAATTGTAATATTCTCTTTTTTATTCTGTTTTTCTTCCTTGACATAGTCGGATTTTAGAGTTTTCATATCTTAGGTGAAGTCCTTAAATCTTTATCCAGTAACTTGGAGATTTGGGAATTTTGAATTACATATTAGACAACCGATCATTATGTAGAAAGTAAAACATTAACTTGGATCCCACTCACTGAGAGAGCAGTTCTTAGTGAGTTAATATGTAATAATGTAGACAACATCTTTTTATGTCTGGCACATTTTCCCATTAACTTATCCTAATTTACTGAGGAAGAGCTTTGTTTAAAGCTTTTTCTTATGGAAAGTTTAAAACATAAAATCATGTAATGAACCCCTTGTACTTGTCACACAGTTTCAGTAAGCAAGATTTTTGCCACTCTTGTGTCGTCTATATCTTCACCTATTTTCCATCTCCTCCTAGATCATGATAATGATTTATGGTTCTTTTTTTCCCAGGTAAAATTTACATAATCTGAAGCATACACATCTTAGCTGTAGGATTTTGGCAAATCCATAGGCCCATGTCTCCCACATCGCCCACGTGCTTATCAAGACACAGAGCATTTCTCATTTCCTTCTTCCCGTCAGTAGCCTTCCGTCCTGAGGCAATCACTATGCTGATTTTTTTCACTGTAGGTTAATTTTGCCTGTTCTAGAAGTTGTATAAATGGAATATTACAGAGCATCCTTTTTTTAAATCCAACTTTTCATTGTTTCATTCATGTTAATAGCATGAGCTGAGTACTATTCCATCATACGGATTTATCATGATACGTGAGTAGATTTAGCTACTTTAATATTGGCTTGCAATATATATAATTTCTGAAATAAATTGGCATCTAAAAATCCAGTAAACTATAACCTAGCCACTCTTTTTTTCTCACTTCTCTACTTTAACCATTACATAAATATATAATATATATAAAATACATATTTAATTTAATATATTCTGAGTTAGTATTGTGCTTAATTTATACTTTAATATATTACTTTAATGTGTTGTTCTGAGTTAGTATTGTGCTTCAACAAGTATCCATTACCTTCAACTTTTGACATTTTAAAGTTTATAAAACCAATCCTGGGGCGCCTGGGTGACTCAGTCATTAGGTGTCTGCCTTCGGCTCAGGTTCTGATCCAAGCATCCTGGGATCTAGCCCTTCATCGGGCTCCTTGCTTGGCGGGAAGCCTGCTTCTCCCTCTCCCACTACTCCTAACTGTGTTCCGTCTCTTGCTGTATCTTTCTGTCAAATAAATCAACAAAATCTTAAAAACAGAAAAGTAATACCTAGGGCGCCTGGGTGGCTCTGTGGATTGAGCATGTGACTCTTGATCTTGACTCTCAGGGTTGTGAGTTTGAGCCCCAGGCTGGGTGTGGTGCCTACTTTAAAAAAAGCCAAATAGGGGCGCCTGGGTGGCTCAGTGGGTTAAGCCGCTGCCTTCGGCTCAGGTCATGATCCCAGGGCCCTGGGATCGAGCCGCGCATCGGGATCTCTGCTCGGCAGGGAGCCTGCTTCCTCCTCTCTCTCTGCCTGCCTCTCTGCCTGCTTGTGATCTCTGTCTGTCAAATAAATAAATAAATTCTTTAAAAAAAAAAAAGCCAAATATTTAAAAATAATTGATTTTGTCAGAAATGGATTTTTTGATGACAAAAAAAGTTTTCTCTGGAAAAGAATCATTTTACTTTCCACTAAACTAACGGCATAATAGGTAATGCCTTTTTTTTTTTTTTCTTGTTTTTCATTTTCTTTGTTAGAACCAAGTCCGTGAGTTCTGAGTTGGAAGCAGCGGCATCTGCTGTTGCAGATTTTCTCCCTTTTGATAAGCAGACAACCAAGTCAGAGCTGCTCAGGCAACTCCAGCAGCATGAGGAAGTCTCAAAGGCACAGAAAGATGGAGAAAGAACTAAAATTAGGTTAGTGAATCAAATAGTTCTGTCGGTAATGCTGGTTTTTCAAAATAGATTCTTTTCATGTGACTGGTGAGTAATGTGCACAGTATATCAATTTATACGTTAAATATTTCTCATAGGTGGAATATTAGTAATTTTTTTTTAAACTGACATGTTAAGTAAGATTGCAGTCTTTCAAAGATCAATGGAATGGTTAAAATTTTTCTTTCGCAAAGTTACACGATTCCTTGTTCCTGAAAAAGAAATGATAAATTCAGTATTGTGATTAAAAACAAGTAAAAGAATAAGACAGTTTCTCTGAGAATATTAATTTTTTCCTGTTAAATAATTTGCTGGTCTTATGTACAGTATGATCATCTTCAGGCCTGTTTCCTTCACTTTTACTCTTATCCTTATGTTTTAGCAGACACCTCCTCACTCTGCCTCTCATCTCATTATTTTACACCAGGTTTGAAGTTGATATACTACTTCAGATGTCTGATACTGTTTCATAAGTGACACTTTTTTTAATAGTGTCACATCAAAGTGACACTTTTATGTTTTAAATGAACATTTCTGAAGAATACCTTCAAAAGTTGTATTTCAAAAAGAAATATAAATCTTAGTGGTCTGTGGGATGTGAATTAACATGTGACATATAATCTTTCATTTAAACATAATGCTTTGTGCTGTTATAGTGCATGGAAGTGAAATATGAATTAAATAATAGGAATCTCGTGCATAAGAAAGTTTATTACTGTCCTGTAGCTACAGTTTCTAATACACTTGACCTTTTTCTTATTTCAGTGTCAGTAACATAATATCAGATATGAAAGTTGCCAAATCTGCCACAGGTAGAGTTAGTACAAGACCAGTGCATCAAATTCAATTTGATGAAGGAACTGACCGTTTCATGGGACAGAAGACTGATGATCTTAAGAAAAGGTACTCTGGCTTTGCAGTCTGTTTGGTTTTGTTAGTTTTATTTGTTTCTCTGTAGATTTACTTTATTCTGTGCATGTTATTGCTGATAGGTATTTGAGCATTATGGATGCATTTATATCTCTCTTCTCACCCTGCATGTACCATTTCCTGTAGAGGAAACAATGTTCTGGATTTAGTAGTCTTGTGCTTTTCTATACCATTAATCACATTGGGTCCTGCCTCCTATTTATCCCTGATGAGTAGAGGTCTCCTGATTTAAGGTAAGTGGAACTGATTGAATTCTGAACAAATGAGCACTTGTGAGAAGCATTATTTTTCATTCTGATATGTACATAACAATATTTATATAATTTTTCTATCTCTATATAATTATTAATATTCATACCCTAGAGAAATAATCCACCATCAAAAAAAAAAAAAAAAGTAAGAAAGATCCATTATAATACCTTAAGGTGGTAGATTATTTGTGGCAATTTGAATTTGGTGATTTGCAGACTTAAAGATGCTAAGCCATGCCTTATGTAATTATTTTATAATAAAAAGCTGTCTGTATTTACAGAAAGTTTCTGTTTTCACTCCTTCAAGCCCATGAAGTAATAGTTGGGGAGGGAAAACCAGATATTTAGTATGCTCTAACAAAAACTAACTGATCTTGATGGAAGGGGGGGCTTACAGTTGGAGTGTTTTTGACATGTTATGTATTCTTTGGATTTTCTTTTAAGTATAATCCCAGCAAGTTAATCAGAAGTTAAACTACTGATTTGCACAGGAAGATTATAAAAGATAGTCAACTGTTAACAAAGCAAGTTCAAGAAGTTACAATGATTTAGAGAGATTTTCTGAATTACTAATTTAAAGTGATTTTATGTCTATGACATGTTGGATAGAGTATAATGTATACTTGGAGTTTTACTTAAGATTCCTCAAAATATTTAATTTCAGGGGTGCCTGGCTGGCTCAGTCAGTAGAGCATGCAACTCTTAATTTCTGGGGGTTGTGAGTTCAAACCCTGTGTTGGGCATAGAGCTTACTTTAAAAAAAAAAAAAAAATATATATATATATATACATATATATACATATATACACACACACACACACACACACACATATATATATATAACTTCACTCTTGTTTGAGTCAGTCATCTTTGAAATGATTCCATGAAACTACATCATAGTTTGATTCTTAATGATATTAGCCATCATTGAAAATTAGAAGGTGGCGGGGCACCTGGGTGGCTCAGATGGTTAAGTGTCTGACTTTTGATTTCAGCTCAGGTCATGATCTCAGGGTTGTGAGATGAGCCTGCTTAGGATTCTTTCACTCCCTCTCCCTCTCTCTTCTTCCTCCTTCCAACCCCCCACCCCCGCTGCCGCCAACACACATGTGTGTCTGTCAAAAAAAAATTCTTAGAAATTAGAAAGTGGTAAGGGGGGAGCTGAAAAGTAGGACGGTTGTTTATGTGCATATAATGACTGTGTTAAACTGACTAAAGGACTCTAGAGTAAGGGAGAGGAGTGATGGGATACCAGGTTTTTACCCTGCTCTGTCATGGGACAGCCTGAGACAATCCGGGCCTAGGCTAGTCACCACAGATATACCCTGGGTTAATTCCTTCAGGAAGAGACATCTGAGAGGGGTGAGGCACAGAGCACTGGCTTTGGAGTCACTCTGGCCTGCCTCAGAATCTTGGCATTATGCCACTGACTAATTCTGGGACTGGGGCAACTTTTATAGCCTTGTCATTCTATGTCCCCATCTATAAAATTCTAAAACTGAAGCCTGACTTAAATGGCTTTCTTGAAAAATAGGAAAGGAGTGTGCCAACTATATATAGTAGATGCACAGCAAATGTCTGTTCCCTTCCCTTCCTCTTTAGTACATTCTAAAATTCCATACTTTACCAAATCATTCCCTCTTTGCTGTGAGTTACCTTAATCCATCAGTCTGTTAACCTGATGCAAAGTGAGTGCGTGCAGGTGGGGAGAGGGACCCAAAAGAACTGAAAATAGTTGGGGAGCATAAATACCTTTGTTTAAGAATACTTGGGGATCTGTTAAAGGAGAACTTAAGTGATTTAAGATTACTTTATCTAATTTTAATATGGTAGTTGAATTATTTCAGTTAATGTGATTTCATTAAAAAATTTGATTCAGAAAAGAATTTTTAAAATTTTAAAGATTTTATTTATTTTATTTATTATTTGAGATAGAGAAGCAGGCTCCTCACTGAGCAGGGAGCCCAGTGTGGGGGGACTCAATCCCAGGACCCTGAGATCATGACCTGAGCCAAAGGCAGACACTTAACTGACTGAGCCACCCAGGTGCCCCAAGAATTCAAAATTATTTTAAAACTGATTATCCAGTTTTGAACTGGTTTTTAATCTCCCAGTAAATTTATTCAA